TAGTTAGTTAGTTAGTTAGTTAGTAGTTAGTAGTTAGTTAGTTAGTTAGTTAGTTAGTTAGTTAGTAGTTAGTTAGTTAGTTAGTTAGTTAGTTAGTTAGTTAGTTAGTTAGTTAGTTAGTTAGTAGTTAGTTAGTTAGTTAGTTAGTTAGTAGTAGTTAGTTAGTAGTTAGTTAGTTAGTTAGTTAGTTAGTTAGTTAGTTAGTTAGTAGTTAGTAGTTAGTTAGTTAGTTAGTTAGTTAGTTAGTTAGTTAGTTAGTTAGTTAGTTAGTTAGTTAGTTAGTTAGTTAGTTAGTTAGTTAGTTAGTTAGTTAGTTAGTTAGTTAGTTAGTTAGTTAGTTAGTTAGTTAGTTAGTTAGTTAGTTAGTTAGTTAGTTAGTTAGTTAGTTAGTTAGTTAGTTAGTTAGTTAGTTAGTTAGTTAGTTAGTTAGTTAGTTAGTTAGTTAGTTAGTTAGTTAGTTAGTTAGTTAGTTAGTTAGTTAGTTAGTTAGTTAGTTAGTTAGTTAGTTAGTTAGTTAGTTAGTTAGTTAGTTAGTTAGTTAGTTAGTTAGTTAGTTAGTTAGTTAGTTAGTTAGTTAGTTAGTTAGTTAGTTAGTTAGTTAGTTAGTTAGTTAGTTAGTTAGTTAGTTAGTTAGTTAGTTAGTTAGTTAGTTAGTTAGTTAGTTAGTTAGTTAGTTAGTTAGTTAGTTAGTTAGTTAGTTAGTTAGTTAGTTAGTAGTTAGTTAGTTAGTTAGTTAGTTAGTTAGTTAGTTAGTTAGTTAGTTGGTTGGTTGGTTGGTTAGTTAGTTAGTTAGTTAACAGAGTTGTAGAAAGAGAACATGCTATTTTAAGAACTCATTCTTTCCTTACTCTGCCTTAAAATTTGTGTAGGGGTTTTAAAGTACACGAAATATATCTCTGTTGTCTTCCTTTCACATATGTATGTCAGTTAGTATGGTTCGAATGGATATGATGTTCTCTACTCCCCCCTCACCATGCGTTGGTCAAAAATATCTAGTATGTTCTTGTTTTTCATCATTTTGTAAGGACATCATAAAAATTGTTGAAATTCTTTTATTTGTCAATTACCTTAAATTTACACATCTTTGTTGTCACAAAAAATGATCAAAAATAATGAAGAATGAAAGAAAGTATTTTTTAAGGAGTAGATGGAGATACTATGAGAACTTGATGCTTTTTAATGAAAAAACAAGAAATGTTTTGTTGATTAAGAAAATGTTAACAATATTTAACTTGTTAACAACATCATCATCTCCGCTAAAGAATGTAGGAATAAAACAGGACATGTGAAGGATAATTAGGTGGGAGAGTTTGGTTTTTAAATAAAAATTTAAAAAGTTAAAAAAAATGTTTAACTAAAATTAGATCAAAATCTTTTTGGCAATATTTCATGTTCCATTTAGATTTTGTACGCTTTAAAATGTTTCTTGTGCAAACAGCTGTTTGCATCCTGCTGGTTAAAGTAAACGCGTGGTCAGTATATAAATGATTATGAATCCTTTTCTTTAAACAAATTGTACATTTAATTTATGTAGCATTGTAAATTCATTATTACATTATGCAGGCATGACGAAATTTAGCTCTCTCTCTCTCTCTCTCTCTTTCTTTAAAATTCTCATTCAACTCTTCAGTTTTCTATGGATTGTTTGCTTATGTGTAAAATCTTACACTTTTTCTTATTTAATAGATCAAAGATTATTGTATTAGATTTAAAAAGGAGTAGTACGATCAACGACTAGTACGAACATCCAGCCCACATACGTCATCGCTTATGAGCATAACGAATCGGCTACCCGCAGCAGCAGCAAGAACATTTCTTAAAGGACTCATTGTTCTAATTATTAACCATATGTCCAGTACATTTGTTGGTAAAACTTTCCTTAAAAAATCCTCCACTTGTTAGGCGTAATACTTGAACTAAATTATCTCCATATGAAAGCCATAAATTTAATTTTAAAGTATGTATATATGGACTACTTTCGTTATCCTTTTTTCGATTCTAATCCCTTCTATTGTTAAGAGTTTGATAAGTGATTTTTTTTCTAAATTATTGTTAAAGCAATATTGTAACAATGTGTTATAATTGCTGTCTTAAAATTGGGAAATATTTCCAAGTACTTGAGTATTTATATGTAAGAGAAAGATTGAGGTCTTGTATTGGGAAGAATAAAGGGTTTATAATGAAAATATGCATAGGCTATAGCGCAGTTTATAGTCTAGTGTATGGTCTAGCGCATGGTCTAGTGTATGGTCTTCAGTATAATCTAGTGTGTAGTCTATTCTATAGTCCAGTCTAGTTATCAGTTAAGTCACTAAACATATAAAAATTATTTTATATTCTTATTTCTGTTAATGATCAAAACATATGCCAAAATTAACAACAAAAATTAAAACAAAGCAATGCTCTCTCTCTCTCTCTCTCTCTCTATCTGGATGACATAAAAAAATTAATGTCCTGCTGAGTTTAGACATCTCTAAAACGTCTGTCTGGCTATATGACCATTGTGGACTGTTGTGTTGCAGTCCATTGGCCATTCGTTTAAACAAACAAAATCATTTGTTTTCTCTCTGTTTTCATAGATTCCTTTTAACGAAATTGTTCTTTTATTTTGTCTATTTTTCCTACTTTTTTATAGCATTTTTATAATTTTACATTAATTTTACGAAAAAGTTACCCTTTTAGGGTAATTTTAGCAACAATGGGCAGTTTGGCATTAGATCATGTTACTCAAACAAACAATAAACCGAAAAAAAAAACAAAGACGAAGATGGAAGATGGACAATGGTCATCATTAATTTTATCAATAGTTGAAAAACAGGAAAAGGGGTGCAATATTTCAATGGCTTTGTGTAATTTTCTATTTCCATTGAAATTACATGAAATTGTTGTGAATTTTTTTCTAGATTTGATTACATAAAATGTTAAGGGTTGAAATTTTTGATGTGGGAGAAAGAAGGATTTTATACATAAAATCCTGTTTTTAAGAGAAAAAGGATTGTGGTTGTCCTAGAGAGTATGTATGAAATAGAAATAGAACTTAACTAGAAAACTAGAACTGAACTAGAACTGAACTAGAACTGAACTAGAACTGAACTAGAACTGAACTAGAACTGAACTAGAACTGAACTAGAACTGAACTAGAACTGAACTAGAACTGAACTAGAACTGAACTAGAACTGAACTAGAACTGAACTAGAACTGAACTAGAACTGAACTAGAACTGAACTAGAACTGAACTAGAACTGAACTAGAACTGAACTAGAACTGAACTAGAACTGAACTAGAACTGAACTAGAACTGAACTAGAACTGAACTAGAAACTGAACTAGAACTGAACTAGAACTGAACTAGAACTGAACTAGAACTGAACTAGAACTGAACTAGAACTGAACTAGAACTGAACTAGAACTGAACTAGAACTGAACTAGAACTGAACTAGAACTGAATAGAACTGAACTAGAACTGAACTAGAAATGAACTAGAACTGAACTAGAACTGAACTAGAAATGAACTAGAACGAACTACTGAACTGAACTAGAACTGAACTAGAACTGAACTAGAACTGAACTAGAACTGAACTAGAACTGAACTAGAACTGAACTAGAACTGAACTAGAACTGAACTAGAACTGAACTAGAAACTGAACTAGAACTGAACTAGAACTGAACTAGAACTGAACTAGAACTGAACTAGAACTGAACTAGAACTGAACTAGAACTGAACTAGAAAGAACTAGAACAGAACTAGAACTGAACTAGAACTGAACTAGAACTGAACTAGAACTGAACTAGAACTGAACTAGAACTGAACTAGAACTGAACTAGAACTGAACTAGAACTGAACTAGAACTGAACTAGAACTGAACTAGAACTGAACTAGAACTGAACTAGAACTGAACTAGAACTGAACTAGAACTGAACTAGAACTGAACTAGAACTGAACTAGAACTGAACTGAACTGAACTAGAACTGAACTAGAACTGAACTAGAACTGAACTAGAACTGAACTAGAACTGAACTAGAACTGAACTAGAACTGAACTGAACTAGAACTGAACTAGAACTGAACTAGAACTGAACTAGAAGTGAACTAGAACTGAACTAGAACTGAACAAGAACTGAACAAAAACTAAACTTGAACTAGATCTGCACTAGATCTGAACTAGAACTGTACATGAACTGAAGCAGAACTACTCTAGAACTGAACAAAAACTGAACATGATCTGAACTAGAAGTGATTTGGAACTGAACAAAAACTGAGCTGAACTACAAATGAACTGGATTATAATTACAATTATACCTAAATTGAAACATAAAAGATCTGCAACTGAACTAAAAGAGATTTACAGTATTTTACCGTCTGAAGTTTTAACTTTTCTTAATCATTTTGCTATTAAATTTAAATACAAATTCAATTTTAACGAATTCTAAATATTTGTACACAACATTTATTTATTTACCCATGGCAATACTTTTACCCACTCTTTTAGTGAAGTCTCACACTAAAATTATTTATCTGGCAATACCGTATGTAAATCATTTAGTCAAAACAACAACCTTTGTACTAATACATAAGGAACTACTCACCGCTGAAATATTAATGGCAGTACTGTACAGTGCACACATGCTATGATGGTAATGGCATCTCCCTTTTTTGTTATTTCAGAATATTGCCATCTGACATTACAAAAATTTAACATATTTGAGAAAAGTCGGCTGATCTGGCAATAGAAAGCAACATTACAGCTGAGATCGACTTCGGTTCGGCTTCAGATGGCAAAGTCTTGCCGCCGATAAAAATTTCAAATGTTAGTTAGTTGTTGGTAAATTGTATCGAATTCAAACAACTTTAAAAATAAATTCGAAATTAATTTCGAATTCCAGAATGCGACATTTTAATCACGAGGATTCCGTTTTTATTTATTACCGTATAGGATTTATAAAACATAGCATAGGAAAACTTCGTCGGCTTATAGTAATTTTTAAGACGGCGTCGAAATTTTTGAGTATGAGCCAACGTGTTTTTTAATATTTGTCAACGCAGGAGTCTGCATCATGGCAATCTAAAAGAAAAATTTAGTTGCCGGAATTGTTGAAGCGAATTTTACAAATTTTTGCGTAATTATTTGTTAAAATTTCTTTAATTTCCTCTAAAATTATCATTGAAACACAGACATATGTCTAGTTTTCGCAAACGAGTCGTACGACGACCGATTCCGGGCACTCGAACCAGCCCACAGACCGGACAAGTGATAACATCAAGTGGAAATCCCTCGTTGGATGTCATATTGGGTACGTAGCTATTAATATAGCAGTGCTGTTAAATAGGGAAACAATGAAATTATCTTTTGTTGGGGTTTTGAGGAGGGTAAAGTGAAAATTCATTAAAAACAAACATACACAGCACGTACAAGTGTCAAAGCAATTCTTAGAACTTATTTCAACTCAAACATTTAAAAATTGCATTCATTATATTCTTTTATTAACTGTGTCTGTGTGTGCGTTGTTTTCTCTTTCTTGTGTCTCAACAAACAGGTGGAGGTTTACCTATCGGCTCAATATGTCTCATAGAGGAAGATAAATTTGTCACCTACTCGAAAGTTTTGGCTAAATATTTCATGGCGGAGGGTGTTTTATCCAAACAATATATATTTTTGGGTTCTTTAGATGACTCTCCCAAGGAATTGATAAAGAAATTACCACAACATTGTGATGCCCCCGCCGAGGAGGAAAATCCGGAAACAACTAAAAATGGTTTGCGCATAGCCTGGCGTTACAATGATTTACCCATGGTAAATTCTGAACAAACAACGGAAAAAATAGGACACAATTTCAATTTGATGGAATTTATGGATCCCAAGTTATTAGAACTTGCCCAGACCATTACCTGGTCCGATAATCCCTTAGACAATGATATTGTTGTAAATCAGGATGAAGACGATGATGGCTGGGATCTTAAAGATCCTGGCAATGATTTCGAAAATGACGCCACCTATGTTATGGATTCTAGCAAAGAAATCGAATTGGAAAACTCCAAAAATAATTCGACTCCCAATCCTGCTCTATGTTTGGATGATAAGCCTGAAGCTGCCGTCGAGGATAAAAATGCTACTGGTTCTACTGAAACTTCAGCTTCTTCATCCATGCCTACACCACCTTCACCATTGTGTAAGCCACAGCCGGAAACCCAAATTTTCACCAATACAAAGTACTTTCGTCTACTCCAAGAGGTACACAATTTATTGAGTGATGATAAATTTCATTCGGGTGGTTTTTTGGTAAAGCGCAGCCTGTGTCGTGTTTGCATTACTTCGTTGGGTTCACCTCAATGGTACGATGAGAATTTCGGTGAGGATTTACTCAAGTTTTTGACCATTCTGCGTGCTGCTGTCCGTTCATCGGTTTCGGTGTGCTTTATAACGATGCCTATGCATTTGGTGGCTAAATATGTGAGTTCAAACTGAAACAAGACTAAGACTGAAATATAACTGAATAAGAACTGGAGCCGAAAGTGAACGGAACTGAACTAGAATGGAACTATATCTCATCTAGAACTGAACTGGAGCTTAACTAAACCTGATCTTAAACAGAACTTAAAATCAGCTGAACTAGAACGGAACTATAACTGATCTAGAATTAAACTGGAGCTGATATAGAACTGTATAAGAACTGTACAAGAACTATACAATAACAACTAGAGTTGAACTAGAAATAAACTAGAATTGAACTAGAAATAAACTTGAATTGAACTAGAAATAAACTAGAATTGAACTAGAAATAAACTAGAAATAAACTGGAAATTAAATTGAACTGAACTAGAACGGCTGTAGAACAGAAGTAGAGCTAAACTGTAACTGAACTAGAACTGAACTAGGACTGAACTAGAACTGAACTAGAACTGAACTAGAACTGAACTAGAACTGAACTAGAACTGAACTAGAACTGAACTAGAACTGAACTAGAACTGAACTAGAACTGAACTAGAACTGAACTAGAACTGAACTAGAACTGAACTAGAACTGAACTAGAACTGAACTAGAACTGAACTAGAACTAGAACTGAACTAGAACTGAACTAGAACTGAACTAGAACTGAACTAGAACTGAACTAGAACTGAACTAGAACTGAACTAAAACTGAACTAGAACTGAACTTGAACTGCACTAAAGCTGAACTAAAACTCAGCTGAACACAACTATAACTAAACTAGAACTGAACTAGAACTGAAATAAAACCGAAAGAGAACTGAACTAGAACTAAACTAGAACTGAACCAGAACTGAACCAGAACTGAACTAGAACTGAACTAGAAATGAACTAGAACTGAACTAGAACTGAACCAGAACTGAACTTGAACTGAACCAGAACTGAACTAGAATCAGACTAGAACTGAACTAGAACTGATCTCTAACTGAATTAGAACTGAACTAGAACTGAACTAGAACTGAACTAGAACTGAACTAGAACTGAACTAGAACTGAACTAGAACTGAACTAGAACTTGAACTGAACTAGAACTGAACTAGAACTGAACTAGAACTGAACTAGAACTGAACTAGAACTGAACTAGAACTGAACTAGAACTGAACTAGAACTGAACTAGAACTGAACTAGAACTGAACTAAAACTGAACTAGAACTGAACTAGAACTGAACTAGAACTTGAACTGAACTAGAACTGAACTAGAACTGATCTAGAACTGATCTCGAACTGAATTAGTACTGAACTAGAACAGAACTAGAACTGACTAGAACTGAACTGGAACTGAACAAGAACTGAACTAGAACTGAACTAGAACTGAACTAGAACTGAACTAGAACTGAACTAGAACTGAACTAGAACTGAACTAGAACTGAACTAGAACTGAACTAGAACTGAACTAGAATTGAACTAGAACTGAACCTATAACTGAACTAGAACTGAGCTAGAACTGAACTAGAGCTGAACTAGAACTGAACTAGAACATAACTAGATCAGAACTAGAACTGAACTAGCACTGAACTAGAACTGAACTAGATCAGAACTAGATCAGATCTAGAACAGAACTAGAACAGAACTAGAACTAAACTAGAAAGGAACTCGAAATGAACTAAAACTGAACCTATTATGGAACTAGAAAGGAACTCGAACTGAACTGAAATTGAACTCGAATGGAACTGAAATAGAACTGAACTAGAACTGATCTTAAATAGAACCTAAGAAGATCTTAATTGAAATTAGAATTAAATTAACTTTTTTTATTTATATCTAGGATGATACCTTGGTTTCGAAAATACGCAATTTAGTCGATTATGCCATTGAATTGGAATCATTTGCCGGCTCGGATAAAGAAACAAATCCAGCTTTCAAAGAATACAATGGTCTATTTCAATTGCGTAAAATTGCAGCCATTAATACACTAAGTGCCTACATGCCGGAAACAACTGATTTGGCATTTAAACTAAAACGCAAAAAGTTTGTCATTGAAAAATTACATTTGCCACCGGGTAAGTAGTCGTTCTATAAATGCAACTCAGACACAATAAACATTATAAACAACAATACTTGTATTATATACTTACAAATAAGCATATAAATTAATTTAAATAATTTGTTTTTTATTTAAATGTTCTTTCTAGAATTACAAGATGATTCAGCTGCTAAACAAGATGTAAAACCAACACTTAGTTGTGGCAGTAATATAAGTCCAAATCCAAATGTTTCGTTGGATTTTTAAACAACAACAAAAGTACAAGTTAAAAAAACAGTTTAATTTACTCTAACAAACCAGAAACAGTTAACAGCTACAATAGACATTTTTCAATAATATTTTTTTATAAAATACAAAATAATTAAAACTAAAAAGGAGAAGAAAAACTCATTTGAATAAGTCGTCCTTAGCAAACCTTAATACAATTTAATTTAAAATAAACTCAATTCTATAAATAACTGAAGAAGGCAATAACAACAATAAACATCTAACTACAATTTAGAATAAACATTTTTTAAAAATAAATTCTAATATTTTTTTTTAAATTTTATATTTATAATTTTTCTTTAGCGATTATATTTGTAATATGTATTACTATTTTATGGCCACCAATTAAAATGAAAACTAAAAACAAACAAACAAAACAAAAAAACGTTAAAATGTTTAGTTATGCAAAAAACAATATCTATCAAACAAAATTTTTAATGTATGTATATTATAAAGTGTGTTCATACTATAAAAAAAAAGAATTAAAAATAAATAAACAAACAACAAAAATTTGTACAAATTAGAAAAGAAAAAATTGCAGTTTATAGCTCTTCTTTAAGCCAAAAATTGTGGTTTACTAATATAAAATGTTGGAACTTTTAAAGCGCAAACAAACGGTTATGGTTGAAAGATTTAAAATGTTTAATTTGCTAGTTTTTTTTTTATCTAGTTTATGGTCATTATGAAAATTGTTAGAAAAACCTGACCATAAACAATATAAAATATATTAACAACTTTAATTTAGTGTATTATTAGTTGAAATTAATGCAGGTTATTCCACCCCTAAAGTAATTTTAATATTATGGGTTCATTCATTTGTTGTTTTCAACTTTCTATAAACATTTGAATGAATATATATTTTTCAAAATTATACAATAGAAATGCATCCATATCATCGAAACAAAACCAGACTGTAGATTAGACTATTATCTAGACTAAATGCTGTAGTATAGTCCGGAATAGACCAGATTTTAAAATATACTATAGTCCAGACTAAAAACTAGACTATAGTTCAGACTATAGACTAGACTATAGGCTAGACTGTAGTTCAGACTAAAGACTGGAACATAGACTAGACTATAGTCCCGACTGTAGACTAGAGAATAGTGCTGAAAATAGACTAGTCTATACTACAGTCAAGACTATAGTTCAGGCTATCCCAGAACTAGAACTAACCTAAAACTGGAATTGAATTAGAACTGAATTAGAACTGAAGCAAAACTGAACTATAATAGAACTAGAACTGAACAAGAAATGAACTAGAACTGAACTGGAACTAAACTAGAACTGAACTAGATCTGAACCAGAACTGAATAAGAAGCGAACTAGAACTAAAGCAAAACTGAACTAGAATTGAACTAGAACTGAAGAAGAAATGAACTAGAACTGAACAACAAATGAACTAGAACAGAACTAGAAATGAACTTGAACTGAACTAGGACTAAACTATAACTGAACTAGAACTGAACAAGAACAGAACAAGAACAGAACAAGAACAGAACAAGAACAGAACAAGAACTGAACAAGAACTGAACAAGAACTGAACTAGACCTGAACTAGAACTGAACTTGAACTGAACTAGAACTGAACTAGAACTGAACTAGAACTGAACTAGAACTGAACTAGAACTGAACTAGAAATCTAACTAGAACTCTAACTAGAACTGAACTAGAACTGAACTAGAACTGAACTAGAACTGAACTAGAACTGAACTAGAACTGAATTAGAACTGAACTAGAACTGAACTAGAACTGAACTAGAGCTGAACTAGAACTGAACTAGAGCTGAACTAGAACTGAACTAGAACTTAACTAGAACTGAACTTGAACTGAACTAGAACTGAACTAGAACTAAGCTGGAACAGAACTAGAACTGAACTAAAATTGAATTAGAACTGAACTAGAACTGAACTAGAACTGAACTAGAACTGAACTAGAACTGAACTAGAACTGAACTAGAACTGAACTAGAACTGAACTAGAACTGAACTAGAACTGAACTAGAACTGAACTAGAACTGAACTAGAACTGAACTAGAAGTGAACTAGAACTGAACTAGAACTGAACTAGAACTGAACTAGAACTGAATTAGAACTGAACTAGAACTGAACTAGAGCTGAACTAGAACTGAACTAGAACTGAACTAGAACTAGAACTGAACTAGAACTTAACTAGAACTGAACTTGAACTGAACTAGAGCTGAACTAGAACTGAACTAGAACTGAACTGAACTAGAACTTAACTAGAACTGAACTTGAACTGAACTAGAACTGAACTAGAACTGAAATAGAACTAAACTAGAACTAAGCTGGAACAGAACTAGAACTGAACAAGAACTGAATTAGAACTGAACTAGAACTGAACTAGAACTGAACTAGAACTGAACTAGAACTGAACTAGAACTGAACTAGAACTGAACTAGAACTGAACTAGAACTGAACTAGAACTGAACTAGAACTGAACTAGAACTGAACTGAACTAGAACTAGAACTGAACTAGAACTGAACTAGAACTGAACTAGAACTGAACTAGAACTGAACTAGAACTGAATTAGAACTGAACTAAAACTAAACTAGAACTGAACAAGAACTGAACAAGAACTGAAAAAGAACTGAAAAAGAACTGAACTAGAACTGAAATAGAACTGAACAAGAACTTAACTAGAACTTATCTACAACTGCCTTAGGATTGACTGTAGTCCAGTCCATAGACTTGATTATAGTCAATACTATTGTCTAGACTATAGCCCAGCTTATAGACTAGAATATTTTAGTTCATCCTATAATGCTTTAACCAATAAAAGAGTTTACACCACCATTGGAAATACTTCCCCCCGCGCTAAAATTCAAAACCAACTTCTTAAAAAGCACAATTTCCCTTAAATCCATAAAAGGCAAAATTCACTTTTAAATTAAGTAATGACTAGACATGGACTCTGAATACAGAAACATGTAAACGTCTGTCCAGCACAGCACAACACAATAACGGTATTTATTTCCTAAGAACAGTTTTAATTTCCAAAATGAGTCGGCATTATGTACGAACACTGACGTTTGACACCATGACACATGAAGTGTGGGTGCATCAGTTTAATGTACAAATAACGACTTCAACAATAACATGCAATAACAATAACAAAATATGTCCCATAACAAATAAATAAAAAAATAAACTAAAAATTATACGAAAAGAACATTTCATTAATTGTGTAAATGTAATTCTACTTCCGAATACTTTTTTTTCGATAATCGTGCACATACCAATACAATGATCTTTTGTATCGGATTGTATGTATGTTTTTCGTGTACTCAATTTTGTTGTTGCAAGTACTTTTGTGTAGTTTAATTGTAATAAAAGACCGCTGCTGCCAATGTTTGACCCCAATGATTGTTGTTTGGAGCAATGGCTTCGTATCATCTCATCAGAGAAGTCAGATCGTTACGCTTAGGCGGCGAACATTTCATTTAGTTGTTGAATTGTAGGAGAACAAAAAAAAAATAATTCAAATTAAACAAAAAGCACCTCATGAATCATGGAATTTAGAGCAAAACGATTTCATTTGTTCGTTTATTTAATTTTAATTCAAATAAATTTTTTTTATTATTTTTATTAAATTTATAAAAACTGTTCTCTTAAAAGATCTTTTAAAGGTCAACGTTAGAAGGCAAAGACGAAGTTGGAAACGTAAATTTTAATTGAAGGGAAGTAGGGAGAAGTTTTGTTGATAAATTTTGTTTAATAAATAAACTGCATTCGTCGGAAATTTGATTCTTGGTTTGACAATATAAAAAAGTGCCAAAAAATTTTAGATCAAAGTTCGAGAGAGGAAGGAGTAAGAAGAGTATGAATGTCTTCTACAAAACTAATTTCCTAATTAACTAAATAACTAAGACTTCTCGTCTTGCTCTCGTTGGGATCTGGAAGTTTACACAACATTTGGACCTACCAGCTTGGTTCTAAACCTCCTCGCACTTAAGCTCTCTCTTGACAACAAAGTCTCACCCCATTCACCAGAGTATTTTAATCATATATATCCCATAAAAATCTCCCTTTCAAGCTACGCCACTAATACATACATACATATTACCCCACATTACTCCATCCCAATCCCTGTACTCATAATTATCAACGATTTTCCGATTGTTTTGATTAAAACTGTTTGCCACACGTTCGTATAAAATGTATATTTTATTTTCTTTTAAACACTTGTTCGCAGGTTAATCACGTTCTCCATAAGCACTTTATCACAATCAGAAACAACAACAAAAATGCATATATCTGAGAACTAGGTACTATAGTTTTTGTTTATTGACGATATGTTTGTTTATATATTCTTGACTTTTGTTATTGTTTACCATTAAGGTTCCATTTGGTTAAACACAAGAAAATCAGCCTTAACTTTATATCAGATTCCTCCCGCTCAATACCCGTTTATTTATTCTCAAATAGAAAACATAATTGTTTATGTGGGTGAGAGAGAGAGAAGGTGTTTGTGAAGTGAGAGTGATAAGTAGTTGGTGAGAACAGCAATTATTTAGCTTTTGTGTTTAACAGAAATGGAAAGTTGGTAATTTTGAAATAGTCTATGGACTAGTCTATATATTGGTTTATGAACTAGTCTATGCACCAGTCTATGGATAAGGCTATTGACGAGACTATGCCCTAGCCTATAAACAAGTCTTTATTGTAATTGATGGACTAGTCTATTGACATGTCTTAAGTCTAGTCTATAGTCAAGTCTCTAGTCTAGTCTATAGTCAAGTCTCTAGTCTAGTCTAATCTATAGTCAAGTCTCTAGTCTATAGTCAAGTCTCTAGTCTAGTCTAGCCTATAGTCTGTGGACTAGTCTCTTGTCTAGTCTATGGACTAGTCTCAAGTCTAGTCTATGAACTAGTCTCTAGTCTAGTATATGCACTAGTCTCAAGCCTAGTCTATGGACTGGTCTAGTTTAACCTATTGACTAGTATATACACTAGTTTATGGACTAGTCAATGACTAGTCTCTAGTTTAGTCTATGGACTAGTTTCTAGTCTATAGACAAGACTCTAGTCCAGTCTATGGACTAGTCCCTTGTCCAGTCTATGGACTAGTCTCTAGTCCAGTCTATGGACTAGTATCTAGTCCAGTCTATGGACCAGTCTCTAGTCCAGTCTATGGACCAGTCTCTAGTCCAGTCTATGGACTAGTCTCTAGTCTAGTCTATGGACTAGTCTCAAGTTTAGTCTATGCACTAGTCTATGGACTAGCCCATGCACTAGTCTATGGACTAGTCTATTCACTAGTTTATGGAATAGTCTCTAGTCTAGTTTATGGGCTAGTCTCTAGTTTAGTCTATGGAACAGTTTCTAGTCTAGTATATAGGCAAGTCCATAGTCTTTAGACTAGTC